ACTCGTTTTAAAATAATTTTATTTTTTTTATGAAAATTGAAATGAAAACGCTTTCAATCTCAGACATAAATCATTTTTAAAAATGTGTTTGGTAATTTTATCAAAAGATTGTTTTCAGTATAAAAAATTCCATTAATGCATTTCTCTCTCTGCTCGAAAGAGGAGAAAACGGAAATAAAAAATGAAAAAGGATTAAAAATCATTTTTCATTTCTCTCATATTTTACACTAAACCAAAAAATTATTTTCATTTTTATTTTTTATCTTTAATTATACTAAACACTATTTCTCTCCCGTTTTTATTGTTCTTTTCTTAAAAAACGTAAAAACCAAAAACAACTCCTTTACTTAACGGATAGGCTCATCATACTTTGACTAGACCGCAAGTATAACACCGTGCAGTGAATCTATTGACTCTGGACAATAATCTTTTAGAATGAGAAAAAAAAAAAATCTTGACTGCTGCACCATACACATAGTTAAATCGCATCGATAGTGTGCAAGTTTTTTTTTTTTTCTTTTTTTCACAAACAATTTAATTCGCTGATTCGAGTTGAGATATGACTTTATGTGAAAACTTTTTACTGTAATAAAAAAATTAAATGTGATTATTTCTAAAAAATTTTTACTGTAACAAAATTCGAATCAGTAAAATAAACAGGACCTAAGTTTGACTAATGTCATCATTTGGTGATAAATCTCCCATGGATATAGATCAATGACACTGATTGCTTTTACAAGGTCTGCTATTTTCCCAACACGGCCATGTTCAAACCTTTGTCTTATATAAAACCTTGAAAAATAGGAGGGAAAAAACAAAGAAAGAAGTGAGAGAATAAACAACTACACAGTTTGATATATATATATATATATATATATATATTGGTTGAAACTACGCACTTTGATATTGTCAATATTTAACAATCCAATTATTTATCCTAATCCGCCATCCTGATCGCTTATTATATTATATGGAACTTTGAACAAGAAGAGAGAGAGAGTAAAGAACACACGCTTACTTTGATGTCAAATATATCTGACACTGGATAACAACCCAAATACTAAGTAAAAAAAAATTGATGAGTCACCGGTCAGGATAACACAGAAAAAACTAGGGTCAACGATATTATATGATAGATTTTTTTTTTTTTTTTTGTGTATTTTCCTTTTCTTGACTGCAAAAAGATAGACCAGACTTGCTTTGGAGGAAGGTAAAAAGTCACGTGCTCTATTTAGGTTCTGTTCATTTTATCGATTCGAGTTTAGAATTTAAATTTTGTTAGAGTAAAAAATTTTCAGAAATAATCACGTCTAATTTTTTTACTACAGTAAAAAGTTCTCACATAAAATCATATCTCAACTCAAATTACAAACTTAAATCAGTGAAGTGAACGAAATTAGTTAATTAAGGCCAGTTCAAGTTGTTTTACTAAATAATAATTATAAATAACAATGACCTAGTTTACAAATGAAAACATCATAGCATTATTTTTGTACGTAAGCTTTATTATATTGTTATATATAGTGAAATCCGCGGATTGATTTTTTTTTTCCCCTTTTCCTCGCGGTTTGATTGCATTCGGGTAAAATGTGGTTCCATATAATAATATGCTCTCCATATACCATAGATATATATGATTTCGTAGACACTTTTGACTAGTACTTTGAAAGAAATATACATACTCCCATATAAATCCTATGAACTTTTTGCACCAAAATTAAGAGGGAAAACAGTTCAAAACAAATTACGAGGGAAAAAAAAACAGAATCCTTAGCGTTTGGTGGAGGGATTCGTTCCTTGATTCGAATCATGATTCGTGGTTCGCTACAGTATTTTCTCTCACAAAAAATACACGTAAATAAAAAATAATTCGAATCACATGATTTGAATCCTCCAACCAAACGAACCATAAATCTTGAAAAGAAGGCAATAACATAAAAACTCACGCGGTATAATGACAGATTGCATCAAATATAAAGTTTGGTTTCATAAAAAAAAAATGAACAATAATAAATAAAAAGTTTGTTTTTCCTTTAGTGCATGTTTTGTTTGAGGGTTTAAACCCCTCTGATTTTGCTTCGAACAATGTTTTCTATTAAAAAAATTTAAATTTTAGTTCAAACTACTTAATTTAAACCCTCAAACTAAATAAACACTTAGAGATAGTAGATTAAATGTATAAGAAAAAATCTCCCAACCACTAAACTTCTAATCCAAAAAACGAACAAAAAAAAGGAAAATTGTGAGTACTTTTAGTGTTTTTTTCTTTTCAGTTTACGTTAAATACCAAGTTTATTAGCCTTTGATTGGTTGAGATGACACACTTTTCAACGCAAATAGTTGTGATTCAATACGGATATTTTTAGGCATTGTTCGCTTCGCAGATTCGAGTTTTCAATTTGAGTTGAGATATGACGTTTTCTAAGAGCTTTTAACTGTAGCAGAAAAAGTTAGATGTGACATTTTCTAATAACTTTTAGCTGTAAAAATTTAAAACTGAAAACTCAAATCAATAAAATGAAAGAGGCTTTGCATGTATTTACAAATCCATTTCATCACGCTTAGAGAAAATATTTACAACAAGACGTACGCTCCTTCTCACATTTTCTTTTTCCATCACAAGTTTTTAACCTATTACCACTAGTCACTTATTTCATAATAAAAAGGACACATTCTAGGTGTGATGCGGATAATTGATATCATTTATCATGGGTGTCCATTTTCAGTTGACTCTATTCTGTTTTCCTTATCCAGTGATAATAATAAGAAAAGAAAAAAGTTAAATACAATTCCTATCTTGAAAAGTGAACTTTAAACTAGCAACTCCATAAAATTCTATGAATACTAACAGTGCTCAACATAACAAGTTTTTCTTGACCAATCATGCAATATCTAATAGAAAATAATTGTCATTATTTATTTATTTTTTTCAATAAGAGTAGAAGGGTTTGACTTTTAGAGGTGAATTGGGAGCTGAACTTACAACAACACAAAGTAAACTCTATATGAAATGAAATGGTTTTGTGGACCAATGTAAAAAAAAGAAAACAAAAAAACAAAAAACAAAAAACAAAAATGGGTACACATTATGAATCATGAAGGTCGATGTTTCCATATAGTATCATGAATTCTAATAATGCCTTCTGATAGCAAGAAATAATTCTAGTAATAGTGGTCAACACCACTCCAATTTGACATCAAAAGAAGATCAGAATATATGGAATACACCTTAGCAACCTACCAAATTAGAATCATTGATTTCACGAACATAACAAATATAACTCCATATCATAGCGTTTAGTGCTACTTGGGCTACATTTGATGATGTGTACGTTTTTTCATCCAAATTTCATATGACAAAAATGTGACCGAAGTGGGAGAATTTTACAGTAGGTATATAAGATAGTATTTTTTGAATCGTTAGATTTTTTATTTAGTTCATTTAAAATGTCATAATTTTACATTTATTTTGATGTGATTTAATTGTTCAAAATGATGTCTTATCATAACCGATAAACACCATTTTGCTAACAAAATAGTTTCATCTCCATAGGAATAAATCTCATAACTCACAAAATGTTAAGTCCCATTATGAACTTAGCGAGACTCATATCTTATGAATAATGAGATTTTAACCCGATAAAGATAAATAAAAATACTCTTTGCTAATTAAAACTGCTTAGCTTATATCCTTCCAGATTAGTGGGAACAAGGAGACAAGAAGAGGGTCAGCCTATAATTGTAATAGAAGTAATGTATGGATTTGGTATGAAATGGTTGGGCATATTCACAAGGTGGAAACCCCCCGGGGTGCTTCCATTATTAAAAGGACAACTGAACTTTCCTTCATTTACGCATGCTAGTAATTTCTAGTACTCTCTCTCTCTCTCTCAATTCCACACTTCAAATTTCACGTCCCAATAATAAGATCAGACAAATCACACGCGTTCTCTGTTGTATGACTTAACCGACCTATATTTTTTGATAAATATTTTTTAAAAGTGTATGAGTCAAAATTTTTATATTTTATTTTTTAGAAATATAGTTACACTAACAAATTATATTTATTAAGAGTAAGAGATAAATATTCAGACTCATATACTTTTAAAGATAAATTCTCTATTTTTTCATGTTATATTATTTTAGTTATTTTAGAGTTATTTTATTTCATGTTTATTTATTAAAATAATTTTTTTTAGTTCTATGAATATTATTTAGGATTTATTTGAACTTGATTATTATTGGGATTTATGTATGATCTATAAGTAAGGGTTCGTTTGGATTGGCTTCAAAAAAGCTGCTGACTTATTTAATTCAAAAGTCTTTTTTGAATATGTTTGGATGACTAATTTTAGGGCTCGTTTAGTTCGTTGATTTGAGTTGAGATGTGACTTTATGTGAAACTTTTTACTGTAGCAAAAAAGTTAGATGTGACTGTTTCTAAGAGCTTTTTAGGACCCATTTAGTTCGCTGATTCGAGTTGAGATGTGACTTTATGTGAGAGCTTTTTACTGTAGTAAAAAAGTTAGATATGATTGTTTCTGAGAATTTTTTACTGTAGTAAAACTCGAATTGATGAAATGAATAGGGCCTTACTGTAGCAAAACTCGAATTGATGAAATGAACGGGGCATTAAAGTGCATTTGACTCTTTTAGAATAAGTCATTTCCTTAGTGCTTATAAAAAAATGACTTATGAAAAGCATTTTTATTTACATTTTTAACCTTTTATTTGTGAACAACAAATTAAATATCTCATTTATGTCTTTTTATTACATTATTTTTTATAATAGAAGTATTTTTGACTTTTTTACCCAAATAAATTCAAAAACTTTGCTTAAATATAAAAATACTTTTTTAACACTATCCAAACACTAATTAAAAAATCTCAACTTATATTTATCTTCCTCTACTATTTAAATGCACAAATACAATCTATCACAACTCTATGTGTTTTCATTAATAATATTGAATATTCATATTTCTCCCTCTAAAAATTCTAAATTTTCCTTCTCTCTCTCTCTGCTCTCTTTTAGAATTCTAAACCGTTTTTCATCAGAAACACAAACAAAATAATAGCTAGCTCAATTATTAAAAACATCACAAACTAATCTAAACATCTTCTTTGGTCGAACATATTTGACAAACTCAACACCCTTTTATCACCTCACTATCAAAGACCAGACCACCATAAAAGACTTAGACAAACAAAACTCTTTCCTTTAGCGCTCTTCTCTCTCTCTAAAACACAAACAAAAACTCCTCACAAACACAACCCAAGAACCCCTTTTTTCACAAAAACAGCCAAATGGGTCCTGAATTCAATCGTTTCCATCATCATCAAGTCCATCAAAGAAACGCAATTTTCTTGCCAATGTTGTGCTCAAGACCCGCCATCAAAGACGTCCATGGCCTCCCCAGATGCGTGGACAGATCTTCCTCGTCCTCCTCGGACCCTTTGTCGCCCAGAATCAGTTGCATCGGCCAAGTCAAACGCAAGAACAGAGTTGTCGGATTCCCAAACCCCCACAGATCACTCAACGCTCTCATTAAGAACACCACGAACAACAACAACGCTAAAAACGACAACCATAATATTCATATTGTCAAGTACTCCAAGCTCAAGAAGTTCTTTTCTAGCAAAAACCTCACGCCTAACACAAATACCCCCGTCGCCGGTAACGGCAGGAGGAGGGTGACGGCGCCGGCGAACGGTGCAAATGGAAATGGGTGTTGTGGTTGTAGCTCTAGGGGTGTATGTAACAGTGAGAAATGTGTGGTGAGTGTTGTGGATTTGGACCCTCCTCTGCCGGTGGTGAAAAGGCCCATTCAGGCCCAAGAAGGAATGGAGGTTGAGAGTTTGTGGAAGAGGAGATCTGGTGGGGTGACTTTGAAGGGTTTGCAGCTTCAGCAGATTCATCATCCAAGACATCATCATTATGATCATCTTGATCAACCCACCACCGTTTGATTAAGTTTGTGTGGGGATGATTATGATTCTCAAATGGGGGAGGTGTTGAAAATGAAAGGTAGAGTTGTTCTTTTTGTAAATGTTTTGATTTTTTTGTATTTTTTTTTAACAATTTTGGAATATTGTTTGGATATTCAATGTTTCAAGACACTTACATATGTAACATCGACATCCATAGTTCTGTTCATGATCACGTAATGAGGATTTATTGTTGTTCATAGATCTAATTTTTTTCCCTCTCAATGTTCATATGGAAGTTGGAGGCCTTTCATATTCATTACAGTAGTCTGACTTGTTGGCTTTGTTGAGAGATGCCAAATTTTAACTGGAATCTTTGAATTTTCTACTTCACTAAAAGCCCGTTTTTCTTTCTTCATTTTGACCAAAAGCAATTGAAGAGGTATATATGCAATGCAGTTCCTCATCTTCAAATACTTTAATATTTATATGAAACAAGATGAGAAACGCACACGATTTTCATTATGGGGTTCTTCTACTGTGCCAGGAGAAGAATTTTCGACACCAATACTGAAAATATGATATTCTTACGAATTTGAACATGAAATTGCAAAATAAAACAATATAGTTGTGAAAGGTGAGCGTTAATGTCATGAATTACGTTAAAAAAAAATAATAATATACTGGCGAACTTTGAACGTCGATATTGTAAAATAAAAAGATCACTCACAAACCGGGATTGATGCACCAAGAACGACCCTAGCAAATGTGTAATACTTAACATCCTGATTCACAATAATTTATGGAATGTTTATTTTAAGGGTTTGTATCTATTTTTGAATCACGATTCTTAATTTTTTATATGTTTTTTTCTTAAAAAATTTAAATTTTAAAAATTAAAATAATAAATTATGGTTATGAATCTATAAATTAAACTTGTGATTATGTTAAATTTGGGAGTAAATTTGGTTTTCTGAGATGATTAAAGAATCAAAAGGAAATGCTAGGAAACCACGTGCCATGTTGTTGTCGCTGCAACCAAGTCCTGCTTTATGTATATCAGAAAATAAATAAATATAAAGCCCTGCTTTCTGTTGGTCCAGTTTCAGACAAACCGGGATTTAAAATAACAATGCCTGCCTTGGTGTGAGAAAAAGTAAATAAAAATAGAAGAATTGCCACTTTTTGTGCCTCATCCAGGGCCAAGAAGTCAAGTAAAAAGCCAACATTAAAGCTTTAGGGAAGGACATTTTTCTTCGATAGTATTTAATTTCTTTAGCTAGTTACTACTTATATACTTGTTAGCAAACCAAATAGCAATAGAAGACGTGATGTTTAATTATAGGACCAGATGCACATATATGAGGTTCTTTAACCAACAAAAAAAAAAAAAAAGCTGCTTTAACAAATAGCTCAGGCCTTGTTTGGTTTAACAATTCAAACTCTGAAGGTTTGAACTTTTTTAGTTCGAATTGTAGAATCTGAACTGTAGTGTTTCAAATTGTGATTCAAACTGTTATTTAGATGCACAAATAAATTGTAATTTGAATTAAGAATAAAATCTGAACTGTGTTTAGATAAAGTATTAAAAATTGTCATTAGAGTTTTATAATAAATCTTAGGATTAATTTCAAAAATTCTCCCTGAACTATGACCCTTATAATACTTTACCCCCTGAATTTTAAAAAGTAACATCCGTCCCTCCTGAACTCTGTTCCATTAATCATTTTTCCCCTTATGTTACAATGAGTGATGGAATTCACCACGTGTCAGTCACATAACCCATTTGAGGAGGATAATTTTAGACTAATTGTGAAATCAGATCTCTTACTGAAATATAATTCTAGAACTAGATCTCTTGCACATAAATTTTCTCCACTATCAAGCCACTTTCACAAAATTAAAACTGTTTTGAAACCAACAATGAAATTAATCTACCAATGAAGAACAATAGAGCAAAAGAAAATCTAAAATACAAATATTAAAAAGCCAATTGCATATAATAAGTGAAAATAACAAACCACAAAGAAAGAGAAATGGCTCAAAAATTGAAACCCGGAAACATCAAATAAGAAAAAAGGGGTACCCGGAAACATCAAATAAGAAAAAAAAGGTAAACCGGGAGGAATTGGATAAAAGAATCCCTAACTGATGAAGATTAGAACAAAAGTATTGTAGGGTGAAGAAGAAAATTGTGGCTCAAAGTTTGCCGTATAATTTTATGAAAGAACAAGAGAAGGAGAAGAAGAAGAAGCATCGTGTTATCCAATTGGTTTAGAGAGAGAAAGAAAAGGGCGAGAGACTCGCACACATACTATAGAAATTAGAAATTGGAAAAAAATAGAAGTTAGAAAGAAAGAAAGTCAGAGAGAGATAGACGAGAGAGAGAAGGGGATAAAGGATTTTCTTTGTTTTTTCTTATTATTTTTTACATGTTCAAAAGGTATAAGCATAATTGTAATTTTAATTCTCACTAAATAAGTGACGCGTGCAATTTCCTTCACTCATTATAACAGAAGGGAAAAATTGCTAACGGAACAAAGTTCAGAGAGAAAATATGTTACTTTTTAAAATTTGGGGGGCAAAGTGTTAAAATGGTCATAGTTCAAGATGAATTTTTGAAATTAATCATAAATCTTATAAAATCTCATTGTAAATGACATTTAAAAAATATGCAATATAAATGAGGATTTGTTCCTCTCTTCATTATGAACACATTAGGAAAAAAAAATCATCTCTATCGAAATTAAAACGAAAAAATTACGACATTTTTAAGATTTAAGTTAATGAAAGACAAAAAAACAAAAACAAAAAACAGTGTTTGTTTCACTATATCAAAACCATTCGGATGGTTTGAATTCAAGGAGGCGTATGAATTATGATTTTAATGGTTTGAGTTGGCCATAGTAGTTTGAATGACATTTTATTTTTGCTAATCCAAACGTCCATTTGAATTGTTAAGAACGTTTAGAATTGGACATAAAGGTCCAAGTAGCTTAAACAAACAGCCCATAAAAGTTTTATGGTGTCTAGCACTTGTAATATGTTAAGAATTTTCTCCAAAATTAGGTGTTCCATGTTTCTTAAACAAAAGGGTAAAAGAAAGAGAAAAAGAAAAAGGACAAAAGAAAAAGGAGGAAAGAGCAAAATGAAGGGTCACTGTTGTCATGCAACACAATTATTCAGCACCCAATTAATAAAATGTTGTCGTGTCTTAAAATCAAACTCTACTGTTAAAGGATGGTAAAGAGATTAAACTCACTTCCCGCTACTTATAACCCATATACACACTTTCTCGTCAAAAATAGCAGAGGTCACCTTTTAAGAAAAGTATTCTAGATTTTGGTAACACGACTGAAAATCTACAGTCTAACATCTAGAAAGTTCATCATCAAATATGTCACGAAAACCAAAAAGTTCATCAGCTGACGAATTTTATCGTAAGGCGTGAACTCTTATTATGCTAACCGTATGAATTAGTTTTTCAACAGTAAATTTATACATACATTAAGAATTACAACCCGTAACATAAAATTTTTCATATTTTAAATCAGACTGTAAAAAAACTAATTCAATAGCTAAACACAGTTTCTATTAGTGAAACAAAAATACATGTACTATCGTAAGGTTTGTCTAAAATTTTAGTCTAAGATATTCGTTGATGATAATTTTTTTTTCCTCTTTGCTTGCGTCAAGTGTAAAGAAATTTTAGGAACGCTTCATTTTTGTCTGCTTGCTACGTGAAAGTCTACAATCTTAGTACGTTTACATGTTGAGTTTGTTTGGACTTTTGTAGAATCTATCCATTTAATCCCGTATTCATCAATTTGGTCGTTGGATCAATTATAAGGTTAAATCTCAAATTTACTGGATTTGTTCATAGAAAGGAAAAAAAAAAATCCATGTAGTGCCCATGTTTACCAAATTTGGTTGTGAAGAAAATCCTAAATTTACCAAAATCCAGCTATTTATCCACTTAAAAAAAGGAACCCCGCCATTTACTTTTATTCCCCCAAAAAAGGAGGGAAAAAATAAAAACAGTAAAAGGTTATCATTTCCGGGCTCAGTTCAAAAGACCAGAAGCATTCATACAGAACGAATCAAGCAGTTTAACCTCATTTATCCAAAAGATACGAAAAATACTTCATACCCTAACTTTTCTCCAAATTCAATAATTTTTCCTTACTATATATACATTACATATGTGTGTGTGCGTGTAAAAATTGACATAAAAATTGAGGTTTCACTCGAGGACTTCAACATTTAGATCTCAATACAAACAAGAACCGAGAAAGAAGGCGCTGATTTCATGTGTACCAGTGGTTCAGCACACGTCATGGGCAGCAGAAACCAAAGTACGAACGAGGTGTAGCGTAATAGCAAGGCTGTTTATATTAACAAAGAAAAAACTCTGTAGCACTTTAAAGTTGGTAGTTAGTATATTAATCAGTCTCATCAGTACATGCAGGAAATGGTGATAGAAACAAATGGGTGATGTCAAGACTACGACTCTAAGAACAAACAGTTTTGTTTTGTGCTTGATGCTGCTAAAGATCCTAAACTCTATATTGTATTTATACAAGCAGAAGGGAGTTACCAGTCTACAGTTTAATCTGGACAACTTGATGTTGTCTAATCAACCTTGCTCTTTGTATGGAGTCCAGATCAGTTTGCTAACATCAACCTCAAGACCGCCACGGCCTGCTTGTTTTAGATGACGATCCAGGACCTTCGGATCCGCACAGATGACATGCTGCCCTTTCCTGTATTGTATTAATTCTAGAGTTTGTAGGGTCGTTAAAATATCCTCTGCCTTGATGGCTGTCATGTCACTTAGCTCCTGCAGGGAGAGGGGAAAAAAAGCCTCAATCAAAGTGAACAATGAAGAAAAATACGACGAAAGGATGATAAACAAAGCAAATTATAGAAAAATGAAAACACGACGGCAACCATTTGGCTCAGCAGATATCCAATTCTCGTTTTTTGTTTGTTTGTTTGTTTCTTTTGTTGTTGTTGATCGGATTTGGAAATTCAGCTTGGTGAAGACTTTAATAAGAAAAGAACTTTCAAACACGAAAACAAGTGCACATGCGGGTACATAAACATCAGGTGGTCTGTCAGGGGTCTATAGAGAGGGACAAACTCTCCCTCAGGTCAATATGCAATTCTTATTTCTTAGGATTTGGATTAATTTGTTTCATAAAATCTACTAAAAGAGAATCTCAACTTGAAGCATCACAAGGGGTGATACAACAACAACAACGAGCCTTAATCCCATCTATCTCATAAGAGAAGAAAAAAAGAACACAGACACTCGCATAGAAAACTCATCCTAAGTACAGTACATTATTCTCAAACAATTGAGTTCATTCAATATCCTTTCCAGGATTCATGGAGTTTTCAAAGAATCTGGACTGAATATATAAAGTATAGTATTCCTGAAAAGGTCATTATAAACAACAATTCCTCGGTGAACAAAATTCATAGTAACGTAGCAAGTAGTGGGGAAAAAACCTTCAATAAGTCCAAAGATGCAGAGGCATGAAACCTGACCAAGTAAAATATAACTTAAAGAAGATTCAGAAAATTAATACCTTGATAGAAATGTTGCCCTTGTGCTTTTTCAAGATGTCTAAAAGCACCCTGGTCCAGTATCCTCTGTAGCTCAGCAGCCCTAAGTCAGAAAGGGGCCTTTCGGGCGTGCCAACTTTACCTTCCTTCTTGGAAAGTTCATACGCTGCCCATAGATATTGGAAATCAAGAGACAGAAGTGCAAACATCGAACTTAAAATAATACAGCAGCAAATTTGGTATTGACAAAAGGAAACGCTTGATCTTGGTAAGGCCCCTAATAATGCTCCAGCGAGAGAAAAACATAAGGGTTGTTTAACAATTTTTTCCCCACACCTGTTCCCCTTTTAAGTCTACAGCTGTATTTAATAATTAAAAAATTTCCATGAAGCAGCTCCGTTAACCTTCTATAATCCTAACGGGATCTCATTGTGAAAATCAAACTTCAGAAATAAATTATGATTTCCGAAGGTTCAAAAATAAAAGGATTTAAGTGACAGAGAGCTTACAGAAGGCAATCAAAAATTTTCCATAGCCTTTCCTTTGATAAGGAGGAAGAGTAAGAATGCATGCCAAGTTATAGGACTCCTCAGAATGCTTTTCCTGCACCATCGGGGAAGAAAAGATAGCCACGTGGTCATTGTTAGTCATCACTCATCACACAATGTTTATTTTAGTAATTCGTAGATTTATTTTTTTTTGTCTAAATTTATAATTCGTAGAAAGACTGATGCTTACAGAATAGAAACAAATTTTTATGGCATTAAGCTTCAGGATAAAATAAGCAACGAAACAGAACCATTATTTACCTTGGAAAAATATCCAACCATATGGCATCCTCGATCATCACATTCACACAAAACGTAAAACAGAAAAAGATCGACATCATAGTAAAGGGTCTTGTGATCAAGAAACAGTTTTGCCAAATAACAAAGATTCTGCCCATAAACCTTGTTCTTTTTGCCATCAACCTGTTAAAGAAAGATATATCAGCTATTGTGAAGAGGAGAAACAAAAGATTATGTAAAGATAAGAGAACATGATCTAAATTGAAGCACATGAAGGACGAGAAGAAAAGTACATCGAACTCATACAGACTTGCTTAATCTTTACTGTCAGAGTTACTTAACATTTCACAATCTGTTTCCTAAAATGCACAATAAAACACTAAAAAGCTGTGCAAGAAAAACTTACCTCAAACATTGAGAGTGTACCACTTCGGTATATCTCGTCACCAGGGGGATGCTTAAGATCACACTTCCTCTTCATATTCAGAATTAAGATGCAAATGAAAAGGAAAAGAAAACCAGAAGTACAAATTAGGCAAAGTGGTCAACAAAATTGGCAAAAGAAAACCTCTTAGGAACATGTAATCAAGGATCCAATCAACCAAAGACTCACTGCTGAAAGCACTTTCTTTACAAGCAAGACACTGTAAAGAGCAAAATAGAAGAACTTGAAACATGGCTCACCATATGCCTTTGAAGCTGCTCTTTGCGCTTCATGAAATTGAGGCAAAACTCACAAAAATACAACTTCAAACAGTCATTGTATTCTGCTGGAAAGGGGGAGAAGTACCATGTCTCAATCTCATATCTTCCAAGTTCAATAGTTGATATATTTTTCACTTTTGTGAATTCTTCATGTTCACGCAAGCTTGCAGCATCAAGCTCTTCATGGCCCTATATTGTGAAAGACATCTCAAGGTTATATCATCCAAACATTTGACAAATAGACCGAGGAACATTTGTTAATTCTCACTGGATTCTGCCTAATTAAATCGCACTCCATTCCCGGCCATAAATCTATACACAGACTTCCAAAATAATTTGGTACGCTGCACCCAAGTATATGTTTGTCCTTTGTGTGGAAGGCCGTAGGAGAGGGGGATGAATCTATTCCTCAGAAGTTAAGAATGCAACTATGACTAGCAATTTATGAAGAATTGAAGATCACAATCTTTGCTACTGTAATTTTTTCCACTTCCAAGCCACAAGACATAATTTTTATTATATCCTCACTCCAATCTATTATTTCCGTTTTCCCCCCTTCATGCTCCAAACATGCATTGTCTAATTTCAATTTCTCTCTATTCTATGATATTCAATTAATAAACATACTCTTTATCCTCAAACATTTAGGGCCTATTAACATGATCCGCCTCTGATGAGAACGGCAATGATTTGCAAAAACCACAATAACAAACATGTAATAGCAACAGTGACTTGTGCATACCTCCACATGCGTCTCATCGATTTTCCGCTTCTGATGGCGTGTCATTTTCAAGCTCGTAACCTAAAAAGCCCTCATTGCAAAATTAACCAATCAAAACATCTGGAAAAAATATATATTAAAAAGAAACACTTGAAGATTAACTTTTATAATAATGGAAATATAAGAACACTTCTATATCCATCTCCAACACTATGGAAGATATCAGCACAACTCGCAGCTCAGAAATGAAGTTTTTGGGAATGGTTTTCCATTAAAGAACCCAGCATCACCTTGTCCTCTACTTTCTCATCAACATCAGTCTCTACCGAATCAAGATCAAGTTGTTCAAGCTTCACCCATTCATCAAGCCTCCTATTAACTATCACGAAAGAAACAGGAAAAGGAGATTAGTAAATATTTGTTGGTATTCTAGAAGTTCATTACACAATCGAGTACAATAAGCTGCTGAAAGTTGTTAGATGGTCAATAGAAAGGCATCTAAAAATATCACTTCCACTTCCAAGTTGGCATCAGTGGAGAGTTCAATTTTGCTTATCAGTTGTGTGAGATACAACCACCTGCAATGCAAATGCCAATACTAATGCTAAATTTCATAACAAAAATGGCACACGTGCCATTTTAAATGCTACATTTATTTATTTATTATTATTATTTTTTGCTAAGAAATGCTACATTCAATTTTAATATATCATTTTATCCCACCAATTTACGTACTATTTAGTGTGAAAACCAATAATATTGGAATGACAATTCGTTTCTCTCCACCCCATTCCTCAAAATAATAATATACTCTCATGTTCTAATATACAAAGATTCCAAAATTTCTTTTGGCCATCAGTTGTGGCTTTTGACATGGTAAACTGGACAAATATTTAAAGTTTCAAAACGTAAAATTGGCAATTTTCTACAAATGCCAAAACTTGGCATAAGTCAAATTTACCACCAAAAATAGAACAGGATTGGTCTGTAGTTTTCCTATCAAATTCGAAAAGTTAACTGCACATGCTCCAATAGGATACTCATAAGATGATCAAATAGCAATGAAATGAAACAACGCCATACATGATCAGTTTGCTATAATATGTATGAATTACACACCCATCCAGCAAGGAGAGTGACAAAAAAAGAAAATCTTCTGTTATGATTCGATATTGAGAACTCATAGGTTCCAACTTTTTTTCTTTTTTATTCTTTATTTCCTATTTTCTTAAGCATATTCTCTTATGGCATCACTCTATATGCCTCTCCATTGAAGTGCTCGTATTTCCTTCTAACTTATCCTTGGAAAGCTATTTCATATTCTTTCTCACTCTTCTCGAGGAAGAGACTTGTGCTTTTCACTGGACATGTCATTACGCATATTGACGACAAAAAACTTTCAACTTCTTCATTTAGATAGTGCAATTTTGAATTTTCAGAGAGTTGGCTTCCAGCTCTAATAACGTAGCAAGTGTTAAGTTAAAAGTTAAAACTTCATCCCATATGGATACAGTATACACACAGACCTTTCTTCTGAACTTCTACTTTCCAACACAATTACAACCTCTACATATTAAGTTGTAGATCGTTAACATATATCACATCTCAATGGCAATTCTTGGGCTATCTACTCTAGAACTCTTTTCTCCAAATCCATAGACACCAAGCATGGACTATTTTATCTCGAATTTTCTACCGAAAAAATACATACACACATACATAGACTTCTTTCCCATTTCTTTGATACACAAGTTATAATCCAAACTCTTACAAAACCAACCAATCCATTGCTTCTCAACATTGCTAAAATATGCGTTCCGCAACCTTTCTCTAACAACCTTTGATGGCCAAAAGGGCAACATGCTGTGGTTATCCAGACAATTTAAGGCGCTTTTCACCACTTGATGACATCGATCAAATGATTTCCAAGGACCTATCCCCAACTCAAACCGCCTTTAATCAATTTTCACTAAATTCTTAGATATCCAGCAACAAAATCAGAAACCAAAATTCTTACCAGAACCAAAATTTCAATTCCTGACAAAAAAAAAAAAAAAAAAAACGCATATATATGGTCTAGCAACAGCATCAAAGCAAAAACCCTAACCCAAAACCTAAACTTTGAGAAATTGGGAAATGCAAAAGTATGTATCTATAATCAGCAATAAAATAATGATACCGGAAACCAAACCACCCCTAACATACTCGTCCAAACCGAAACCCTAATTCATCCAAACACAAACAAGAGCACAAAAATTAAGGTCTACCCACAGCTCCGAACCAAAATCCCTAACCGTAGAAATGCAACGAGGATTGGGAAAACCTTACATTCGGTGTAATGGACGTAATACTCGTACTCGCTGGAGCCAGCGGTGGGAACTTTGCGGCGTTCGATGACCTTGACGGGATGGTACTTCCCGTCCCTCCAACGGCACATAACGCGCGTGTTGACCTCCAAGGGAAGCACGCTCGCTTTTCGCTTCTTCAACGCCTCCGTCTCCGGGGCCGTCGTGCCATTCTCCGGCGGCAGCGCTCCATTGCCGGAGGCGGAGCCGTTCTCTGCGCTCGGAGCTTCTATCGAACCCATTTCTCGATGGAAAGCTTCGAAAAGCCCATCCAGTTAGAACTTTAACTCAAAATGAATGGATTTTGACACAGAGAAACCACTATGGGCCGGGCCCACGGGCTCGCTTTTTGCGGGATATGTTTGATAACATTTCATATTTATTTAAAAAAAATAGAGTTAAATTCATGGATAGTCCTGAACTTTTTTCTATTTTTACAACTAATCTTGTAGTTAATTTTTTTTTATAAACAGTCTCTAAATTCTAAAATTGTTCTATAAATAGTATTTTTATTAAATTTTGGATGGAAATTTCTAAACTATTTTCTCTTTTTAAAAATAATTTTTATGTTAAAGAGAAATAATAACTATAATAGAAATCAAAATTGCAAATCTTTCTCAAAATTTCAAAACCCACTAAACTAAACAAAATTATTTTTTCCCTAAGATCTAGAAAAAAAATTATTGATATTTTTGATAGAGAAGATGATGACCTATGTTGTTGTTCTGTAGAGATTTTTATTTGACTTTTTTAGTTTTTTTAGTTCTTTTTTTGATTTTATAATTTTTAAGATAATATTTTTTTTAAGTTTAGACATTAAATTTAGTAGAGAGAAGATCGTTTAAAGACCTTTTATAAGCTAAAGTTAACGGTTTCTATTTAAAATTTAACAGATAAACTATTTATGATACGCTTTTAGAGTTTAGGGACTGTTCATAGAAAAAATTAACTATAAGAACTAATTGTATAAAGAGAAAAAAGTTCATAAACTATCCATGAATTTAACTCAAAAAAATATGATTATTATAGAGAAAAGAAAAAGAAATTCATAAGAATTCTCTAAATATTATAAAATTAATAAAATTAAGGAGAATTAAATTAAATAGTAATTATCATATATATAATTGTATAGTCAATATTTTAATAATATCAAATTTCATATTTTTAATATTTCAAAACTATATTTCAATTTTACTAAAATTTCGTTGTGTATTAAGAGCCCTTATTTTGGATAACTCTTAGATTTTGCAGTAAATAAGGCAAGATATTCTTTATAAATATTGGGCATAAATAAATAGTATAAATTATTTAACAATAAATTACCATTTACTTTAATCGCTTCAATTTATACTTTTTTTAAGGGATTTTAATTTATACTATTTACTTGAAAAACGTTTTGAAATTATATTATTTGCCTTTCCATCCCGAATATTATGTGCATTGTATATATAAGAGGCACGATCGATAATATTTAATATCAGCTTTTTAGAAGAAAATATATCAATTTGCAATTGGAAGGACGATGCAGTCAAATTAATATATTGTCTAGGATCAAGATATAAAAGTATATAAAATTTACCTTTTAATACTTCATCCTCTAAATTTTAAAAATAACATTCATTCTCATAAATTTCATTCCGTTAATAAATTTTTTCTTTCTGACGTTAAAATTTTTAACTGAAATACTAAAAAAATACCATAATTCACCAAAATCACACAAAAAAACCGCAAGAATCAGTCCCGATAATAGAGAAGCACGGAAAAAATTAACAGGAAAAAATAGTTCCCTTCACCAGTTGGTATCCACTAAGACACCGACCAGTATTATGACTGGTATTCACAGAAAACCACCATTGTTGGTGGCAGTTCAACCATCACCACCATCAAAATATTAAAAAAAAAAATCATAAATAATATAAGAGAAAAATTATAATAAATAATAATAAACCATCACCACCATTGTTGGTGGCTCGAGCTCCTCTACGGTGAGGTCTCCTTTTCTTCGACTCCGACAACGTCTGGGCGGAGAAGAACGGCCAAGGCAGAGCAATCTCTCGCCGCCAAGATCTTGTGTTGTTGACAAGAGAGGCGCCGAGGAGAGGGAAGAGGAGCACATATTGACTACACGGCAAGATAGGTGGCGACCGATTGCACGACGACGTCGCTAAGAAAGGGCGGCGATGCAACATACCAGAGATGTAACAGTTTTAGGTGTTTCGGCAAATGTCAATCCACATGGAAAATTCGTAGTAGAAAGTCTAAATATCCCATCAATCAACTTTGTTTTGTGTACAATCTTAAACTAATTCATCAGTTTCCCACATTTTAATTTTCAACCACACTCAAAACTAATTAAGAATATAGATAAACATCATATTTGTCTTTGATTTGAATCACGAGATTGCAACTTTCCTTCTTAAGATGGAGAGGGGTGGAAAAAAAAAATACTTTGCCTGGAATACTTTTTATTTTCTTTTGATGTTCATTTTAAGGATAACATAGCAAAAACAAAAGTGGCAGACAAATCCTTACATATAGATAGGTAAAGTTTTAAGTCAAGTGATCGTACAGTCCAACAAATATGACATTTTTTGTATGTACGTGTGACACCGTTTATTCATATGCGTACCTCTTTTGATATGCTCACGTAATACTCAATATTTATTGCATATTACGCTAAACGCTATATATAAACTTCACTATTTAAATTTTGCTATATGCGTAAAGAGCCTTTTTGTTCATGGATTCAAATCTGGGGCCCTTGTCAGCAAACTTTGTGGCAGCATAAAGCTTCAGGCAATCTTGGAAACGGAAGTGATTCGGGTACAGCAGTTTTTGAGCAGGAGAATTATGGCGTCACCGGCCGGGTTATAGAAGGTGGCAACGGACAGTCTACTTCCGTTCTTCTCAGCCGTGACACAGTGCAGAACACTTTTGTACCTTCCATTGCTCAATATTTCAACTTGGTCACCTGTGTTGACGGAGATGGTGCTGTTCTTCGACGGCGGAACCGCGATCCATTCGCCGTCTTTGAGGAATTGGAGACCGGGGACTTGGTCATCGTGGAGCATGATTATGATCCCACCAGCATCTGTGTGCTCTCTAAGTCCTCTCACAAATTCTGGATGTGGACAATGCGGGTATTTCGCCACCACGTGGATCTGAAAGTTTCTTTAACAGTTAGTTTTTATCTTGATTTATTATTCTTTTAGTTAAATATATATATATATATATAGGTAGAGCACATTTTGAAAAGAAATCATTTTAGTAGGACAAATTGGATAATAAAAAATTAAGGAGAAGCACATGAGAAAGTAATAGTTGAGCGTTCGTACGTAAGGATACATATGAGAACAAATTACTTGAATGGGATAGTTAGAAAAAACATTTATGATGATTACTTTTGATATAAAAATACATTTAAGTTCACAGGAAAAAAAAAAAAGCATTTAAAATGAACATATTTAGTAAAAATATTTTGATATAGACGAATCAAAGAAAAGATATTTCAGCATATCTGAAAATATAAGAGGTAGAGGAAGAAATAAAATAAAAAACCTTAAAAAAAAAAAAAAGAAAAAAAAAAAGAGAGATATAGGGCATAAATGAAAAATAAGAGTTAAAGGAAAAGAGAAAAGTCAAAAAGAGCGTTTCAACCGAAACACTGATCTGCATTAACATCTTTTGACATTTATATGTATAGAGATTAGAGATAGATGATGGTTAGATTGGAAAATATATTGGTTAATAGTAAACCATATACTAAATGAAAAGACATTGGATGACTAAAAAATAAAAATGGCAAAACAGCTTATGTGATTCCCTGGTTTTTTAAAATCCCTGGTAAACAGATCAATTGTTATGATTATATCCGTTGGATTAATGATCAATCAAACACTAATGTTGTTACAAATGACTTAGCAATGCATGCAAAAACTTAAGCCCGACCAAATGATAAGTTCCACCAGTAGTATTAACACCTTCACAGTAATTGTAGTCAGGCTGATTCTATTCACACTCACCTCATATTATTAAATTTACCTCTTACACCCTTATTTTTTCAAAACTACCCTTAAACTATTCTCATAAAATTATTAATTTTTTATTACTTTATTTTTCTTTTCACACGCACCTTTACATTCTAATTCGTTACTTTAATATTATTATGTCTCTTTTTTTTTTGGTTGAAACTTTAAGCATGAAGCATTTTCTCATACATAACAAAAATTTACTATTAATTTTTTTTTTTTTTGGAAAAATAAAGGGCTTTTACTATTGAAAATTATTGATAGCAAATGTACATTTTTTATATTGCTTTTTAGGAATGTAATAGTAAATTTGTTATAGTAAATGTCCTTTATTTTTCTTTAAAATTGTAATAGTAAATATTCTTTTTGCATGAAAAAATCTCCATGCCTGACGTTACAATAGAGAGAGAGAGAGAGAGAGAGAGAGAGCAATGAACTACTAAAGCTACCATTTAAAAATGAAACGGTTGGTGTGAAAGAATATTGAAGTTATAAAGAATTAATAATCTTATAAAAATAATTAACCGTAATTTTAGAATAATAGAAATATATAAAAAATAAATTTAATCATTATAAAATTATATGGAGTGTATTAAGAAAGGAGTGTAGAGAGTAAAGAGATGTATGCAAATAGAACTACTATAGTAGTAAATAACATATTTATAGCATCTCCAATGCAATGCTATAATTGATGTGCTAATTGTAAATTTAACATTTGAGTGCAAAAAACACTCTCTAATGCAATGCTATTTGTTGTACCAAATTTCTCATATGTCATATTTTGTGACAAATTTTCCACCAAATATAGCATATGAAAAATTTGACATTTGATTATTATGAGTTGAAATGTTTACTTTTTCATGCAATCAATGTAATTTTTACATTTTTCTAATTATTTTAAAAGCTTAATAATTATAAGAAAAAGTAAATTTAGCATTTCAAAGAGTATTATGCACTAGAACAAAAATAAAAATAACATATTATATCATACTTTTTGAGGAAAAATATATAATTAACATTAATATTTGTATTAGAGAAGAGATGGTCTTATTAGTAAATATTATTAACCTGATGTATATGCATTTACTTACTGGTACGTGAGCATTGAAGAATAATTTTCTGACCTCAAATGTTAAATTTCAATACACGAGTGTTGATATTTGACATTGCGCTGAATATGGCAATATGCTATAAAATATGCTGCAGACTTTCTATAAATTGAATCTTCTTTTTGCAAGACTACACCAGTAATTTCCAAAGAGGAATAGGAAAATTTTGAAGCTTTCACGTAGAGAAGCAAAGCAAAACAGAAGGAACAGTTTTTCTCTACATCTAAATATAGAGAACAAGAAAATAAAATATAAATGAGAAGTCCAAGAGATACTAAAACGTGGTTGGAACTTGAAACACCAAAAATAAAACGCTCCAATCAAACGGCGAGCGCAACTTTCGAGGATTAATATGGTGAGGTTATATACACTAAACTTTACAGGAGTAGGCTTAGTAAGTGATACCTTTAATTTCGTGTACATGGTTACAAGTAAATCTCTCTCCTTTTTTTTTTTTTTTAAACCACTCTAGAAGGAAAACCCAAAAAAAAAAAAAAAAAAAAAAAAAAACAGAAACGTTGCCTCCTAATAAATGTAAATGGAATAAGCCCCTTCCACCCACTGTACAGTTACTCTCACAAAGAATATACAACAATTGCTGCAAAAACCTCCCAATTCCTAGCCCAAACAGAATGTGCAAAAACCTCCCAGTTCCCAGCCCAAACAGAATGTGATTTCTTCGCGGGGGGTGGCACTGGCGAGAGCCCTATCCCGCGGGTTCCCCATAAACAGACTAGCATGGCAGCAGTTTTGCGAGACCACATTTTTTCCCTGCGGCGGTTGCGGCCAAATTATCATCCGGAATGATTTTCTCGTCCTCAAGTAGACAATCAAACACCAAAAAAAGTGTGCCACCATGCTACCCACCACGATCCAGTGGTTCGTCAGAACCGGTGTCACAGTTGATTTGCTTCTCATTTAAAATGCAATCGGCAGGAACATACGCATACCCTTTAGGTAACCGCATGTTTTTCACAGATGCTTGATCCGATGTCATTACCAGTTCTTTCTCAAATGTCTCTGGCTGTGATTTAGGACTTGAATGAGCAAGTTTGGCTGTCCATGTCTAATTTAAAAGCAAAACCCAACAAAAATCAAAGATAAAATATTTATAAAAATTGTGTATGGTAAAATACCTTCGTAGATTTTGACCTCCACTCTCCATCATCCATATGATTACGTGTCAAGACAGGTCTATGAGGAACGTGTTTCCCTGCAAAGTGCGTCCTCTCCATAGGCTTCCGGCTAAATTGGTTTTGGGATGTAGAACAGTCATCTTCTGTCCTTTGGTCATCCACAGTGCCAGCAACTTTAGTTCGGTGCTTTACAGAAACTGTGCTATCCACAGTTACGTCATCTGACCTTTGAATTGCTTCACTACAAGATTTATAATCATCAGTGTGGCCCTTTAGAGATGTTGTAACCGATTCTGAACTAACATCAGGAAGAAAAAAGGGACTACGTGCAAGTGCAGAACGAGCAACATGATCTCTTTTCACCGCAAGTATGTCGTGCGAGCAAAGAACCAATTCCCGCTGTACAAATCCCAAAAGGAAAGATAAGAAACAGTATCAGCAACTGTGCATGATTAGAACATATGCAAAAAATTGCACGCACGCACAAATGACCACACACAACACAAACCATTCCTAATTCAATCTAATTGTGGCTCCACGCAATAGACACAGATATTACTCCAAGAGATTTCTTTTCCAACTCCATACCTTTAATTTTTCACGTTTGATGATCCTCTCGCAGAGAAGTCGTAACCTCTCTAGTTCAACCTGTAAAACAAGCATTCATGCAAGATTTAATTAGGCAATACAGGCTAATAAAACAAGTTGTTGCAAGATTAGCCTAACAGTAATTCCACACCCACCTCCTATGTACTATGAGTTCAAATCCTCCAAACCCCAAGTCCCAAAAAAAAAAAAGAAAAGAGGGGCAAACCAAAAGAATTTATGGTTCGAAATGTATGGAGATAATTTCACCACTCGCAAATTAATTCTCCCACGCGTAATTAATTGTGTGCGTGTGTCTGCTTTTATATTTATTTTACTTTTAAAAAAGACATACTTTAATGTAAGTCCAACCACAAATATATTTTAATGTTTTTAAATAATAATGGATATCAATGAAAACAGAAACACATGAAAAAACGGTTACCATTTGAAATAGATACAGAATCCTCGTATTGATTCACTTCAAAAGTACAATAGATTTAATGTTTTCAAGTCCAATCACAATTAACACGGGCATTAAGCTAGAAAATACAAGGGCACTAAGTCCCAAAAGTTATCAGATAAGATTATTAATAAACAATCAATAAATTTTCTTCTTTAGCAGATATGGTTGCATTGATGACACATTTTGACACTTCTACACAAGTAAATATTTGTGCGCAAAGATGCATAGATATAAGCTGAAACATGAAAAGAGAATCAAAAGCTGAAAATCTTACTCTAACTTGTTTTAAGCTCTTTAACTCCTCGACTCCATGTTTTTGTGTTTCAGCCTGAGCAAATTAAGGCAACAGAATTAGGCATATGAACTGAACTATAATCCGTGGAGGCATCATTCCATTCTAAAAGTGATAGAATTAAGACATAAAATCATTGACCATAAACATGCATGAATTGTAGCAAGAGTAATATTATGACCTTTGCCCTCTGCTCTACGCTATGCTTTTCACAGTAAGCCTTGTGCTGCTGCTTGCCACCAGAACTCTTTATGTTCATGTAAAAACCAGCACTTCTAGCACATGATGGGTGAAATGTGGCCTGACAATGGCCATAATTGCACTGCAGAAAAGAAATAAGTTACTTGACAATTAGCTACAGTATTGACAAACAATTACTTCAGTTTAAGAAAGAAGTTCACAAAAGAACACACTTTTACCTTTATGCAGACACCATGTTTGTGACGACAGATATTGCATAGGTCAACCCCCTTGGAAACTGTCTCCTGACATTCAAAAACATGTGAAAGCATAGATATGTCAACAGAACTGCTAGCTCACTCTAACTAGAAAACCAGGCACAAACTGCAAATATGAGCAATCAAAATCATTCTTTTTTTTTTGGGTATATCTAATACGTTCACCGTTCACGTACCATTCCTTCAACACAATTTACTTGTCCTCTTCTAAATCTCGAGTCAAAGATCCACTACAAAATGTTAGAGATACGAAATATCAATTTCCGGAAAGAAAAATTTAAACAAAACTTCAATGTTTGTTCAATGCAAAAAATAAGTTTAACCTCAGCACAGAAAGCATGGACCCATTGACCATCAGATGATTTCCTAAAAGCACCAGTAGTACCACCACATAACCCACATTCAGCAAGAAAATAAGGTTTCTCCCAGAAGTTAACAGCAGGAGCTCCAGAACTCCTATATGATGACAATTCTTCACATAACTCACAGTACCACGGGCCTGTAGATTCTTTAACACTACGATAGCAATCCAGGTGAACTGCAACCTGTTAAAAAGGTTCAGTCAAAACTAAACCTGATTATGAATTCACAAGGAAAAGCAATACGAAAGACAAACCTACCTTGCAGCCACAACAAACTAAGATGGGATTTAACATTGTTTCAGAACGTCTGCAGATGTCACATGATCTAGGGTGTTCTTTAGAGAAATCTACAACTGACGGTGCAAAATCAGAATGCTTCTCCAACGAAACCCTTGGAACAGCCCCCTTCTGAAGTGTTTCTTTTGCCCGAGGGATTGGCTGAGAGCAACTGCCAGACCTCCCACTGGTAGTGTTCAACTTCATCATGTTCTGCAAAGTAATTAGAGCGGTGAATGACCAACTACTATTATAAGCTATAAAAAGAAAACATAATTCAGATAAGAAACAGGTAGATACCTCCTGATGAGTAGTTTCATCACAGGCGTCTTTCCTAAATGAAGAGATCCTCGAAGAGGCTGCAGCAGCTGCAGTTGCGGCTGCTAGCACAGCTTGTGCTTCTTTATGCCTTCTTTCCTTTCTGCCCTGCTTCTTTGCCTCCCTAAGCTCACAAAGATACTGGTTAACATGCATAGCATCCCATCTGCTCATCCGTGCAAGCTCAATCTCCTGCGGCAGACTCTTAGCAATGTTCAATATTAACTTATCTGCAAAAACAAGATTTAAAAAAACCTTACAGTTAAGCATCATGAAGCAAAACCAAAGCACTACAAATGTTATCAAGAAGTTAATAGTGCAGAGACCAGTTGATTGCTTTCTCGCAACTGCATTACTCAGCAACCTGTGCTGGAAATAAATGATTTCTCCTTCCACATCATCTTTTGGAGAGAGTTCCATAATCCCCATGTTCCTAGCTTTAACCAACTGTTCTAGACTCCGTACATCATCATTTCCCATAATCTCGTCGCACCTTGGATGTTTATTTTGGTGATTACAGCAAACACTGGCACTAGTGGACGACTCAAAACGAGAACATTCCCCATCTCTGGAACCTGCAAAGTCCAATACCTGTTAGACCCATCCATAGTAGGAACAAGAAAAGATAAAACACATTACCATTGCCAAAATCACACGCTGGGCTGCTTTTCAAATCCACCCCGCTCTGCATTTGCAGTAGCTTTTTTTGAATATCTGGATGGATATAGAAGCTGGGAACTGGTTCTGCTTCTGTTTTTCTGTATTACAAATGGGTACAAATATTCAGAAGTTGCCATGAAATGAGTGGGATGCCTGAAGCAATATTAAGCAAATTCCCCAAAGCTCAAAACAAAGGCCCCGTTCATTTCACCGATTCGAGTTTTGTTACAGTAAAAAGTTCTAAAAAACAGTCACATCTAACTTTTATTATTACAATAAAAAGCTCTCACACATCACATCTTAACTCGAATTAAAAACTCAAATCAACGAACTAAACGGGTTCAAAATCATCTAACAATCCGTCTTGAACAGATTATCACATATAAAAATATTAAATAGGTTCAAAACTTACTGCATATCAGGAACAACTAAATCTGCAGCTGAACAAAGTCGATTTCCATCCCCATTCACCAAAGTACCCTCCTCTGCTTGGCCACTTTGTTGAGGGATACAGTTCAAGGGTTCAGCTGGGCTGCCTGCTGAACATACGGGCTGCCGGCTGAACATACACTAATTTGGTAAAAAGAGAATAGAACAGCGTCATGAAGATCACTATGAAGAACACTTATATTCACTGTAATATAAATCTATAGCTTCGCTACAAAAGAAAAGATGCCAAGTGTCCACAACATATTAATGTCAGACACTAGTATCAACAGACACCAACCTGGCTATTATTATACACAACAATTTTTGGACAGGCAATGTACTTTGCCAAGCAGAAAATGAAATTGGTTTATCATGTCCATAATACCAGTACCAAGCATAAATTATGCAGATTCCTCAGTCCTTGTCAGGTGAGAGCAATCGTCATCTTAACGACCTTGAAGTGAACCATGTATAGGTTGAGCAAAATCACTTTTTACCTTGATTTGCACTTCCATTATCCATATTTCAAGAATTACCCCCTTTCAGCTCTAGTTCATACATATTACATCCAATAACAATATGCAAAATGTGAACTGTTACTGGTTCCAAAATATGGTGAAAACTGAAAACTAACGAAACTACCCCAAAAAAATCAAAAAAAAAAATCAAAAAAAAAAAATCAAAAAGCATTCTCAATGGAAGGCTTTAAAGGAAAGTGGTGTTTTATATGGACTTATGAATGTTTTCAGTTTAGCAATATCAAACTAACAATTAATGAACATCTTTTCTTTTTCTTCTATGGGAATAATTTCTAAAACAGCTGTTAAGAAAATCTGCATAAAGTAAAAGGCATCTAACCAACATAGAATTGGATCAGAAGGATGTAGAGAAAATCATACCTTCACTAGCGCGCATAGATGAAGAATGATGAACACCTTCCGGCTTAGTCAAGTTCTGGCATAGATACAAAGTAAATTATGTACATATATTGAAAAAAAAAAAAGGAATTTGCAACTAAAGTTCCACTGAAAGAGAGGAAGCCTTGAAAGAAACTGGGCAAAGATGCACAGAAACAAAATATGCAAATGCAAATATTGCAAAAACTCTTAAGGCTACAACACTGGTTTGAAGTATCACAAAAAAATTCCATCAGGTCTGCATACGCACACATGTACGCATATACACAAATGGTTCCACTTCAATTTTCTCTTTCCGATTTCATTTTTTCTTTTATTATTATTTATTTTACAAGAAACAGAAAACATAGTAAGCGACTTTTTAACTACTAGAAAACTAATAAGCAGATGTTTGTAAATGTATATTACCTTCCCAACTGCATGAGGCATAGTTGCTTCATTTGAATTTTCAGGTTCCTCATTAACACGTTGATCCACCTTAACCTCATTCACTAAAGTCTTTTTGTTGCCGAAAATCTCCTGTGGTGAGCATACCATTTTGGGATCATTCAAAATCCCAAGATTGCTTTTAGTTCTTCGCCTCGGAGGTACAGACTTAACAGCTACAGGATCAGCAATATCGGATTCTGGGACTGATACAGTACCAGAATCATCAACAGCTCCACACTCAGCCTTGGATGAAACCCTTGATGGTATTTTAACTCTGAAATTTTTCTGTAAAGTACTCAAGTGCACATTGTTTTTTAGCCATTTAAGTATTTTGCATTGCATATCAGGGACCATAGTATCATCCTGCAGAAATAAATTTGAGATGTTAGAAGAAAGTTGTCAATAACAAAAAACAAGATGGGCAAAAAGACCAACAAATATGTGCTACAATTACATAAATAACTAATTAGGAACATAAAAAGTTATCATCTTTTGTCATTACAGCAAGTGAGGCAGATAAAGAATTCGCTGAGATGCCAATCTGAGAAGCAACGTCTTCCATATTTATTCTCCCACGATCAACCAACTGCGTGATTGGAAAATGTTAAACTTACTACGAACTCAAACAAAATATCAAAATCACTATTGGCTGCTCAGGGATTGGACGTGTGTTACACCTTCTTCAAAATCAATGCATAATTAGTGGATTCCAAATTATTAAAATCCTCGCTGCTCTTTTCAGTAAGCGGCTGTGCATCATTGCACCCTGCTACAAGTCTAGCATTTAGTTTGGAACCAGTAAATCCTGTCTCTTGTGATTCATTGTCACAAGATCTGTCAGAATTGCTATCAGGCACTTCAGAATGAACTGCAGTACTATCTCCATTTCTGCAGCCAACATTTGACTTCTCAGGAAGATGGTCGATGGAATCGGAGTTACTGTCAGCAACTACAGAAGTGTCACCTGACTGTGAAGTGTTGTTGTTATCCAATGCTTCAGAGTGCTTCGAGCAAAAGGCCCGTAACTCAACCTACATTAGTACATAAAGCAAAGTTGTTTTTTCATTCAGAAACCTAATCATTATCACAAAAGTACTAGCGAGTAGCAACTACTATAATGAAACAATAACAACTCAGATACTAGAAGAAAAAGAAAAGGACGCTTACATTATCATGAGCATACTTTCCCCAAACTTCCATTCTGTTTCTAGCCTCCCTTGCACATAGAGGATGGAAAGCAGTCCTGCAAGTTCCTGAGCCCAAAAACAATAATAGATGAGTAGAAACATAATCCAAAAGAGAAGACAACTTCTCTAGCATTATCAGCACAAGTATGTCAAAGTCATAAAAATTAGCTAGAGAAACACAAAATCTCAGTTTTTAACAGAACCAAGTTCGTTAAACGGTTAAAGTTGCAACAATTAGCTCAAGAAACGCACAAAGCTCAGTTATTAAAAATACAGGCTTGTTCACTTTAAAAACTCAGAAAAAGAGAAATTAGCAAGAAAGAATAGAACCTCAAGTACTTGCAAGCGGCAGAATTTTCACAATTAGCTAAGAACACGAAAGTTCAGGTCGCAAAAAACTAGCAAAAAGATTTTTTTTCAGCAACCTAGACTGCCCAAAAAGTGCAAGAACAAACCCTGAAATTAAAGAGATCACGTCCTCCAATGTACCAAAAGTTTGGCCTATTTAATGCCAAGCCAAAAGTAGCAAAGAACTCTAAATTTGGACTGTATAATTGGTCCTCAAGAAGCTGGTAAAGAATAGAGCATATGAAAGCACATAATTTATGTGTATCAATGATGCCAAAGAGACGAGGTAAAACAAGGATCACGTAGTATCTTGTAAATAGAAGAGCTGCATGGGACAAGACCTTTCGGTGCTAGAATAATAGACCTACAGGGTTACAAGAGCTGCATATAGCTTTATTTATTCCTTTCTAAGAAAACTATAGATGTTATGGAAACGAAGAAACTATTAGGTGTGAAAGTACAAAGAGAGAGAGAGAATCAGAGAGTCAGAGACTAACAGAGAGAGACTCAAGGAAATAATAGAATTACCCATTCCAAGAAAAGGGGCATGTTAGCATATTCTCATTAACATAAAGTCTGAAAATCAGGGGATGTTAAAATCCATATTCCCCCAATATTCTTGACAGATTTTTGTCATAAAAATTACAAAGTAAACACTACGACAAAGGACGGTAACAGCATTCATCGGGATTCACGAATCATCATTTGTATTTGCTGAAATATTGACAGAGGTAAATACTCCAATTACTAGTCTCTCCTGTTCTACCAGCCGAAAGAGAAACGCAGAATGGCATATGATAATGGAAGAAAGAAACATACCATGGCTGCATCGAACACAAGCGCCCCACTTCACTTTGCATATGGTGCAAACCAACCTTTTACGAGTTTCCTTTATTGCTTCTACATTCATAATTGGCTCCATCTTCACTAAGTCCTCTATATAAACCTCAGGCGACCACTGACAACAGAACAAGTGAGCGAATTCTGCAGACCCGTCACTTCCAACCTTCCGAGAAACCGGTTTCAAAGCGCCACCCTGCTTGGGGCAAAGGACACAAGGTTTTTCTAAATCCCTGCTACTATCACTACTCTTCTGCTTACACCAAGTACACAACCATGATGGGTCCACAGCCTCCTCTTGAACCCCATAACACTTTTTATGAACAGAAACCTGACAAGAACTACAAGATACCAACCGGTTCAACTCTTTTCCAGTGTCCCCTCCGGAGCAAAAATGGCACAAGGATGAATTTCCATCACAAGAAGAGGCAACTAAAACTTTCTCCAACCCAGCATCACCGCCTAGAAGCTTTCGTTTCTTCGAAGGCCGCTCTGACGTCAAACAAACCTTATCCTTAGAACCTAAAAGCCACTCTAGACCACTCGCCGATTCGGCGACAGAAAAAGTAATATTTTCCTTCAGAGGCAAACCCTCATCACCTACACTATCAATTTCCATAGACTCGTTCTCTTCCTCTGTTATACTTTTCTTCACAATATCCCCATTTTCCTTTTCTACTGCAACCTCATTTTCGCGTCCACTAATTACATTCTCTCCCTCCACTTTTCCCAATGCCGAAATCAAGAAACAGTTGCGCGCAGCTGGATTAGAAATGAATTCAGAAACCTGAGACAATTTTTCAATGTCCGACATTGTCAAGTCCCTGAAGTACTCCTCAGTCTCGACCCATATGTTGGGAACGACTTTGGACCGTGATGACTTCTTCTTCTTCTTGTTATCCGCGCCCGAATGCGACTTCTTGTGCCGTTTCCGATTATCCGACTGCCTCAAAAGGAAGTACGCCAACCCGCCCGGGAGAGTGGGCACACTCGCCGGAGAAGCCTCCTCGGGACCATCGAACGGGGAGCGGAGGCACAGAGCCTTCCTCGCCTGGGCAAAAAAATCAACACCGCTCACCGTCGACGAAAGCGTCGAGTTCTCCGGTGAAGCGGCCGGAATTTTCGCCGGAACCCTAGAAACGGGGCAAGGCCTCTCCTCGGTGCCGCAACCTCCGTCCTTACCCCTACCCATCATCTTCTTCTTTCGCCGGTGACATCGCCCTCCGGTCATCACCGACAACAATCCATAACACAAAAAGGGCGAAAATCCAAACCCTAGAAATTCCTAAAAATCCTAGAATCTAAATCCAAATGGACCGGTTCTTCAGCAAATTAAAAGAAAAGGAACGGAAAAGTTCAAACCCTAGCTCTAATTTCCAGGAGTTTCGCGTCGTTATTGTTCGGAGATGGAGAGGATAAGCCCGCAGCTAGGGTTAGGGTTTTCGGTGGTTCGTAATTCCTTTCGGATCCGTTTTCCAGAGCGGATTTTTGGTTTTTTCGCAGTTTTCTGGTTTCGCTTTCGAAAGAGAGGAGAGAGAAAGACAGAGATAGAGAGGAGAGAGAAAATAAAACAATTAATTAACGCAAAAAAAAGAGAAAAAAAAAATGAAAAACGAGAGGAGAGAGAGATTCGCATTTCTTGCAGGGGGTGGGGGCGGTTAGAGAGAGAGATACTTTTATACGTGGGGTTTTTCTAGGGTGTGGTGACGCAATGGGATTTGATAGGCAGACCCGCATTGATTCTACACGTGGCGTCATAACGCACTGGCGTGGTGGCGTGGATACACTGGTTCTGGTCGTCTTTAATTACAGTTGCGTACTTGCTAATTTAGGAGAATAACTAGCGCCGTTATGATACGACAGTATAATTAAAAACGACATGAATTTTATAAGTTAGAATTGATAAAAAAAGATGTTCATATTAATATTCAATCGATCTAAAATTAATATGAAAAATATAAATTAATTTTAGGTTAGACCTGTTTAATTTGAATACGATATAAAATTCATAAAAATTTAAAAAATACATATTTTTTATTACATATTTTAAATTTTATTATAAATTTGTGATATAATGATTGTTATACTTAAAATTTTATACTTTTATTTACTTAATTTTAATATATGTTATTGTAATTTAGTGTGTTATGAATTTTAAGTTATTTATAATATGTAAAAAATTAAAGAAAAGTATATAATTTTCGTATAAATTTCAGGTTCACGGGTCAATTTCGTGTCACGGGTCATTTTCGTGTCGTGTCGTATCAGTTCATAAAGTGGTCGTGTCATGTTCGTATTGAGGTTTTTAAAAAATTTCGTGTCACGAGTCGTGTTCGGATTGATTGTAAATTTAAAAAAAAATGATTAAAACACAACACAAATACGACACATGACACGAATTGTCACTCATAAGAATAACATTTATTTTTGGGAGGTTCCTAACGGATTGCTCGACTCTTTCCCAAAATATATTATGGCATTGCTCCTTGAAATTTTATTTTGTTTAGTCAATTTTTTTGAAATTAGAAATTGCATCATGAAATCGAAAAAAGAAGAAATTAGAAATGCATTACATGACATTAAAAAAAAGTTTATTTTGGCATTGTTTGGTTGGTGGATTTGAGCCTTTGGGTTTGAATATATATGTCAATTTTTATGATTAAAATTGACATTTAATAGTGTAAGATATAAATAGAAAATAAAGTTTAAATTAATGTTTTGTTACATCAATAGAATTAATGAGTTCTTAAAAAATGTGAGTGAAAATGGTTAGTGAGAACCTTTTTGTTGAGTTTTGAACAGTAAAATGGGTTAGAACCTAATAATTTAAAGAGGTAAAGTTGAGTTCAACCTTCAATTTTGGGTTCAAATGTGAAACCTAAAACCAAATTTAAGTTCACAATGTTATGCAACTAAACGAGGGTTTGAATCCAAAAATTAGTTCAAACTCATATAAACACTCTAAATAAACATGCACTTTGTTTAACCTTTCTTTAGCTTCTTGTAGTTCTGTCTACTACATATAGCCCACATGTTAATAGTTTTTTTAAAATTTATTTAAGAGAATAAAAATAATACAAAATAGGGGGTTTCTCTATGACAGTCCTACCAATAATGTTAATTTATAATCATTGGATCTTATCAAAATTATATCAAATTAAAAAAATATATGTAGAATAAATCATTTCTGATACAAACTTACTAACTAAAGCAGGAAACTACTGGTAGTTCATTTTTCTGGTCCTATAAGATAAGCTCCTACAAAATAAAGTATCTTAATCTGGTAAATACTAAATAGTTAGAAAAAAGAATATTATTTTTACAGTGTTATTCTAATTAGACTTAAGTTGATCCTGTCATCACCTTTTGATTCTTGATAATCTAGCAAGTACATTGTGAGATTTTTTTTTCCTTTGTGCTATATTAATTACCACATGCAAATTACTAAATCTTTATTGTCCTTGCAAGAACCTAAGAAGATCTCATATGCCTAAATATATTATTTATACAAAATCCAAAATATTACATTACTATTTTTTTACTTTCATCTAATTTTTGAGGTAAAAGAACTCAGAACTCTACAAACGTTGCTTTTCGTTGTAATGATACTCCTAATTCAACAGTTTCGTTTCATGAGTAAGCTTCTTTAGGCCCCACAACACTATAATTTCATCCACAAACTGAAAGCCATTTATTTATCGTTTTCTTTTCCTTTTCTTTATATTATTTTTTTCTCACTACATATTTAAACAACACCGTCTATGATTGATCTAAATATGAAAAAAATGTTTATTTTTTATATTCGTTCATAATTTTGAATCATGATTCACAGTTCTTTATAGTATTTTTCCCTTACAAAAAACACACATAAAATAAAAATAATTCTGAATCATAATTTTAAATTCATGAACCAATCGTTTACTAAAATTAAACATGCCATTTAGATGAATTCTTTTTATTTTTATTGACACATATGGTAATGACACGTGTCCCTAAATCATCACCACTGGGACCAGCACGGCATCACTAAGGACCGATGGTTTTATGTTGCAAACTTTTATTTGACAAAAGAAAAAAAAAAAAAAAGGCTATTAGGCTAATGATATCGATTATATTGATAATGTTAAATGTCTAACATTTTAAATTTCAATCTGAAAGTTTCATATCCTTTTACTTCTCACACGGAAAAGAGAAAATTAAGAAATCCACCCTCGTTTAGAATTATGCCTTTTGTAAGTTGAATAGAATAAAAAAAGCCGTGGCAAAAATCTTATGGTATTTTAAGAAATGACATAAATCTTTACACCCTCTAGTTGGAGGGCACTCTCTTAGATTTTCCCGTGAAAAATGATCAATTGTTAATCAATCTAATGTTCTATTTATGAAGTCCACAGTTAAACAATGATACTCACCTGCGCATATTGATATAGCTCACATTAAGATGTGGACTTTGTTTCTATTTGCATAAATTCCAATAAAAGTCATTTATGGTGATCAGTAACGCTCTAGGCTCCTACATTATTGGTGTAAATGGTGACAATCATCCTCCTGCAAAAGAAGTCAAAAACCTCTGCGGCAGATGCCAACTCAACTTCCTCCGTATCTTCGAGCCAATAATCGAAGTACACGAAGCGGTGTATGGCAACCCATTCTCGGTAGCCATCGGTGTGAGAAACAAAGACACACAAAGTCTAGCCACGGACCAACAAGGAGTGAGAAATTGGGGCCAACACTTACATTGTCCCCTATTACAAATGGGACGTTTGGTTGGAGGATTTAAACCATAATTTGAATCATGGTTCATGATTCGCTACAGTGTTTTCTCTCACAAAAAATACACGTAAATCAAAAATCGTTCTAATCACATAATTCTAATCCATGAACCAAACGTCTCCCACATTTTGACTTTGTCACAGTAGGAAATGAGGTACTTCCAGGCCCTCAGGCACCACACGTTCGTCAAGCCAACACCAACACATTAAGAGCATTCTACGTAGCATAAATATCCAAGCACATCAAGGTCACAACGGTCATTTCCTCCACCGCCCTATCGGCCTCTTACCCCGCCTTCTGTTCGGGGCATTTCTCCCCAAAGCCGCCCCTATTTTAAAGGACATTGTTGAAATTGTGTGGCACCACCAAGCATCACCTGTCTTGATCAACGTGTACCCTCATTTTGCATATGCTTCAGATCCTGAACACATCCACTATGCTCAATTCAAGGCAGATAAACCTGTAGTTTGTGGATAGGAATTTTAAGAAGTACTACGACCCTGTTTAGAATTGATCCTATTTTTTGAGAAAGAAAAAATGAAAATATTTTTAAAATGACGTTTAGTGTAATAAAGACAAAAAAAAGAAATGAAAATGATTTTTTAGTTTAGTGTAAAATGAGAAAGAAATAAAAAATGATTTTTAGTCGTTTTTCATTTTTTAATTTTGTTTTCTCCTCTTTCGAGTAAAGAGAGAGAAATAGAGACATTAATAAATTTTGTTTACACTGAAAATAATCTCTTGATAAATTACTAAACATATTTTTAAAATTAATAAAATTATTTTAAAATCAGTTCCCGCCCCTACATGTTGCTGGTAGTTTATTCTTTCTATGCTGCTTTATGACAAGATTGGTTGGCCCAACACCCAAGTTGCTGTGGCTGAGACGGGCTGGCCCAGTGCAGGGAATGGGCCTCACACAAGTGTGGAGAGAGCAAAATGGACTTGCAACAAGAATTTGTTCGAATCATGTTTTGGGAATCTGAAGCCTGCTGGGGTTGAGCAAAACTTTGGGTTCTTTTATCCCAACATGAAGCCTGTTTATCCCTTGTGGCCTTGCTAGAGATTGGCCTTGCTAGAGATTGTTGAGTTTCTTTGTGGTTTCATGTTTGACCAAAAAAAAAAAAAAAAGAAAAAAAAAGCACTTGAAGAATCGAAAAAGTAGAAATTAATCTTCTTTTTTTATCTACTAGTTGCAAACACGTGCAATGCACTTGTGTATTCTGTTTGTTAAATTTTTAAATAAGTGAATGTAAATTTATTTAAAGAGGACCAAAATGAAAGAAATGGAATTCTAAGGTAAAAGGGATAAAACAAAAGTAAAAGAAGGACATTTTTAAAATAGTGATGATTGTAAGTATTGATTAACGATAATTCCACACACTGCTTCATCATAAGCGTAGAGTTCAAATCCCTTACACCATAGGCAAAAAAAGAAAAAAAAAAATGAAGCAAACAGTTTTGGTAGGGCTACAAGGAAAAAGACATTTAAGTAGAAAAATACATGTAAGTCGGAGCACATTTGGAAAATATATATTTTAATAGGGAAAATTAGAAACTGTACGTAGGGGTTGTAGGGTTTCAACTAAAACGGTGTCATTTGGTTGAAATTGTACATTATTCTTCTATATATGTATATATAGTCGTTAATTTTACCGATTCGAGTTTTAAATTTGAGTATTGTTACAGTAAAAAACTCTTAGAAATAGTCACACTTAACTTTTTTACTACAGTAAAAAGCTCTCACATAAAGTTACATTTCAACTCGAATTAAAAATTCATATTAGTGAATTAAACGGCCTTTAAAAATGATTTGTTTTCATTTGAATAGTCTTTTAGGTGAACATTTTCTTAATTTTTCCTGAGAGGAAATTACACTTGTTACTTCTCGAGAGGAGGGAGAAGAGTCAATCAGCCTTTTCTCCTCTTTCCATTTTCTTTCCTCTCTATCCAACTTTCCACCTTTCATGTTTTTTTACTGTCCTTAAATTATGAAAAAAATAGAGATTTTATTTGGTTTTAAAATACAGTTTATGTACCTGTGTTTGGTTGGGCAATTCAGCCCAACTCAGCCCGGTTCAGTTCCAATTGTAGTTGTAGTTGATGTTTAGCAAGGCTATTAATTGCAATTATGTTTTGAATAAGAATTTGTATCATAGTTCGGATCATAATTTGTAGCTCATTATAGTATTTTTTTCATAAAAAATATACATAAGTTAAGAATAATTCTAAATTATAATTCTGAACTCATGAATTAAACGTTGATAATGACTCACTCAATTTGATCTGAAACATCCAAATCCGAGTTTAACCCCTCCTACCAATTCAGGCCTCGTTCACTTCGCGGATTCGAGTTTTCAATTCAAGTTGAGATATGACATTTTCTGAGAGCTTTTTACTGTAGCAAAAAAAGTTAGATGTGACATTTTCTAAGAGATTTTTACTGTAGAAACCTAAAACTAAAAACTCGAATCGGTGAAATGAACGATGTGTCAACATTTCAAACCAATATTCTACAGTAAAATGCAATCAACAATTCTAACTTTTTTGGCTGGACCCACAGGCTCTAATGATGCCGCCAGTTTTTGCTGAAAGTGTCGCTTGTTTGTGACCCGTTCGGTTCGCTAATTCGAGTTGAGATGTGATGTTGTGTGATAGCTTTTTACTGTAGCAAAACTCGAATCAGCGAAAAGAACGGACGTGCGTCTTTAGAACGATTTTTAAAAATGATTTTTACGTATTTTGATAAACAAAAAATAAAAATAAAAATAAAATGATGTTTGTTTAATAAATATTTTGAAAACGAAAATAGTATACAAATAAAATAATGTTTGTTTAATAAATATTTTGTAAATGAAAATAGTAAAAATAATTTATGTAAAGAAATTAAAAAATAATTAAAAATTACTTTCACTTTTTTATTAGTATTTTTTAATACTTATTAATAATATTATAATATATTAATTAATAAACACAATTTTATTTTTTTATTATAGTCAAAACAATATCTTAAAAAACTAACCAAACGTAATTTTAAAATCAGTATTAGAATGATTCTCAAAACAATCTCATTTTTACTTTTTATTAAAAATAAAAGCATTTTAAAACTAATTTCAAACACATATTTTTACCCTTTTAGTAATATGTGTTCCAAATGGTTAGTAAAAAAAAAGTTAAAAAAGCTACCCAATTAAAAAAACACCTACAAAAAATTTTAACTATTATATAGATAATTTTTCTTAAATTAAATTTTTGGTACTGTATAATTTCTTATGCATTATACTATTATTTTTCAATTCAAATTACCGTTCTCAATTATTATCCAAACTCTGATTCAGATTATATTCCATATTTAAATTAAAATTTTAAATACACAACCAATTCAAATTACAGTTCTCAATTTAATTGTTATTAAAACTCTGATTCAGATTATATTCCATATTTAAATTAAAATTTTAAATACACAACCAAACGTCAATTCAAACTACTGTTTAAATCACACTATTTGAATTTTTCTGTTCAATTTAAAAAAATTTAAATCAACAAAATTTAAACCAACAAATCAAACGGACCAGTAATTACTTCGCTCAGTAATAGCCATTTCGGTCGAGCTCAAAGAAGCTAACCACGGCAAAGCTCGGCCATGCCTCACCACTAGCCGGCCTCCAATGACCTATGAATACCTCACACTTGAGAGAGACACATTCTAGCATGAAAGATTTACCAAGTTCTAAGCATTATCATCATTTTTTTTTTTTCAATTCCTAGGCAATTAGTGGATATAATAAAATTCTTTACTCATAAAGACCGCACCTTCTTCGAAGGCATGGCTGTATATTCTCTATGGTTAAGACTCATCACTTCGTCACAATTTTGTTTGAACCAAATTAGCGTATAAGTTGAACCAGATAATTCAGGCAGACGAAAGCACTTACTCAATCTGTACACACGAGAATTAATCACTTTGGATCTGTAGGAAAATAAAAATCAAATTTTTCGATTTTTTTTTTGTTTTTTTGTTTTTCTAATTCTACTTGTTTATGTCAACCAGTAGCACATCACAAAAATATACTCCGCTTTACCAAACTAAATGCGCAAATGCCAAGACATATCAACATGATCTAAAGCTAAAAATAAAACCTTTTGATTTCTTTTCCGTAAAATTGAACAAAAACAGCATCAGCCTTTTTCTTTTTGAATCAAACCCTCCTGAAAGAAGAGAAAAAGAAGAAATGAAAAAAAGGAAAAGGACCCAAAATACACCCAATTGACGCAATTTCTCAGCACCTTTCACTGCAGACAAAACCAGCCCCTACCCTACCCTTCTCCCTAACAACTTTGGAACCTAAAAAGAAAAAAAGGAAAAAAAAAACCCCGTTTTTGGGAGGTAGGATTGGGGGCACCTGTAACTTATTGCACTATTTGCAGAATACAGAGTTCCGACCAAAACCCACCCCTCTTCTTTCATACCCCAACTCATCATCAGCTTTTCTTTTTTCGAAACAAAAGAAGAAGAAAAGAAAACTACCATCTGCTTTCAAAAAATTGGAACTTTCTTGGATCTAATTGTGTAAGGAGAAAAGTAATTCATGCATCAGATCCAGAGTCAGATGAACTCAATTCGGACGACGCTTCACCCGGGTTAGTCACATGAGATTTAGACAGCATCGAAAGCTTTTGCTGCAAACCGCGGCATAGTTTCAACGGTGGCTTCGTTTTCATGCACTGTGAAAAGAATAACAGAAAGGGACATATGGTAAGTACAATAAAAGTCGTTTTGAAGTCTAACTCGACACGAGACAAAGGGAGTGAAAAAGTTATTTACCTCCTCATAAAATGCATTTATCTCCTCTTCGGTAAGACCTTCATCCTCACCAGCATTTTCATCCCATCCAAGTGATTTAAGGAATTTAGCTTCTTCCTCATCCAGATAAATATCTGAACTGGGAGGGCATTCATCCTCCCCGTTGTCAGAAAACCTCTGGATTTCTTTACAGTTCTCACCATTGCCATTCACTTCAGCGCCAACGGGATGGGGACTTGCAGGAGCACTGCATACCTCCCTATTGCCTTCACCTGATTTCTCACTGGTAGGAGATGAAATATTAGGGCCCGACTCTGGGAGAGTAGCAGAGGGGTTCACTGAGGTTTTCTTCTTAATGAGATTAAAAAAATCATTCCGGCTCTGGACCTGAGACAAGGAAGGTCTCTTTTCCAAGGTAGATCCTGATTTCAAATCCAGAGAGGAAACTTTCTGACTGTTGGGGCTCCTAGAAGGAGCAGATACGACTGGAGGGGCAACAGCAAGCTGAGTGCTTGATGCTCTGCTGGTGGAACTATTTGTTGGGCTAGTGACATCTTTTGAAGGAGGAGTGACACCATTTTCCCATACTGGTTTGAGAACGAGGTACTTCCCATGAGATGTCTTTGGAGTATCAGACTTAACATTTCCACTCCGAAGGTATTGGTTAACATTTTGCAATGATGACGGCTGCTGCTGCACAGTCTTGGTACCCACATTCATCTCACCAGATCTGGCACCTGTTTTGGGCTTCGATTTTTCAGAATTAAGAACCTGAAAATAAGGATTTACGTTACAAACATCAAGCCAAACAGGATGTGTGTCTCAAATGAAATATCATAGCAATTCTTCAGATTCATAATACTGCGCCCACCTTTTTCCCCAAAAATTCCCCGTTATGCAAAGGCACTAATAGTGTAAGGGATGCAAGTAGGAAGACAACAGGGATGTAACTCAAAAATGTATACAAAAACCACTCTAAAAATGGCAATGATCTTACAATTATTTTCTCTAACCGTCTCTCTACCACCAATTTAGTTTATTCAAGGGGAAAAAAAAGGTTGATCTACCATTTTCGAAGGATAAACATCTTAGTTGACCAAATTCAGTACATCAATGTGCATATGGTATCATCTTAATGTCATACAAGGGTGCGGAAGTTACCATAAATTATACAGAGCGAAACAACAAATGATTATTAGAACAACAACAATCCTAAACCTAGTATGTGTTTCAACTTTCGAGTCTCATCTGTGTATGGTATAATAACGTCTGTATAAGTGGCATTGTTAGATTGTAAATTTAGACGATAGAATAGAGAACCCTCCTCGAACCCCCTCCCTCAATGCCCCAGACACACACAAAAGAAACAAAAACATAAAACAATAGAGAGAGAGAGAGAGGAGATGTTGCACCAGAGTAAGTCCTATCCAATAAATAGAATCTTTTAATTTTGTTAGTGATAGATATAAATGACTAAATTAGTGCTGTAACCACGAGTTGCTCACTTGTTTGCATGATCATAAAAAAAAAGGGATGACCATAATTTTAAGTTTCTACATTCTATCCCTGTAAATTAGCATTTAACACAACAATAAATCATAAGAAAGCATATCTTGAATTCCCCGACAGAAAGAGAGGGAGTATTGACAGCAGCTGGGTTGGATAACTAAGAAAATGATAAAAACATCGATGCCAAGAGTATGAATTGAAGGAGCAGAACCAAATACATTAGCCACTAACCAAACAAAATATTGTAAATTAAGGGCCCGTTTAAAAGATATATTCAAACCATGATTCTTGATTCTGACATTTGAAATTCAAAGTTTTTGTGAGAGGAAAACACTGTAACAGAATCAATGATTTGAGTTTGAGTATATGAAACAAACGGGCCCTAAATGTGTATAGGACAAATCCTACAATCCTAGGCACAATGAAGTACGTCACTTTCAGGAGGGGGGGGGGGGGGGGCGGGGCCCAACATTTAG